TTGGGCGGGGAACATTACCCCAAGATTTCAGCCTTCTAGTTTCTCAGATCCTCGAGTTATGAACTGCCCCAAAAAAACTTTGAGGGACCCGTACACGAGTACCACGCGAGGTATGGCGCCAATTTTGGGGATTGGGGCTCGTACGTGCATGTAGATTAATTCCCCAAAATTTCAGCCCCTTAGCTCTTGTAGGTCTTGAGATGAAAAACCGTGACAGACGCATACACGGACACACGGACACACAGACACACAGACACACACATACACAAAGACAACCTCGTCAATGTGCGTTTTTCGCATTTCATTGCTGCAAAAAACGCATAAAAACAGAAAATTTCAAATTCTTTTATATAGAAAGTAAAAGCTTGGCTTTCCAAGTGCGTGTGATCTAGTAGTAACGTTAAGAGCTTAAAAACTGCTCAGCTCGAAAACATAAGCTCCAACATGCTAGAAAATCAGCAACTAATTAAGTAATATTGGTAGAAATTTTTTGAAAAATCAGAATGAGGTTATTTTTCAAAAATTTTATTGAGCTATCAATACCAAGAATAGCCAAATCGCCTGGACAGACAGTGTGGAGATCTCTTGGGGATATCTAGCAATATTTGGATTCTGATATTTTGTAAAAAATTCTTCAAAAAATTCTTTCATTTGCCAGTTAAAAAAAGCCGTTCGGACGGACTCCAAAGAGACAGTGCATTTATGGAATACTGTCGCTGGGTACCAACTGAGAAATGCAGCTCAGGAATGAGAGACTTGGTATATGTGCTTTCATTCCAGTGGTATCAGAGTTCGATAACGGCAGCGAAGAGACATAGTTATTTTTGTGGTGCTAGTATTCTTGACCATTTAGTAGTTATTAAGAAAGGAGAAGAACAGATAAAATGTATGAGCTGATCAAAATACGGATAAGTATGGATACTAAACAATCTGTTAGTTATTAGGAAAAAAGCAGAACAGATAATATATATAAGCCGATCAAAATACTGATAAATATGGATAAAATTCTTTCTTTTAGAACAAATGCAGCATCAAGTCCCGGAACACAGATATACCGAACTTATCTTTAGGTCAACGTTTGTATCATCAGGTCACTACGGGAGCCACTGGCTTGGAGATAATTTCGCGCGCTGGGCCGATTTGCGAGCCTCCATTATTGGCGTGATGGAATTCAACATGTTCGGTATACCATACACCGGCGCTGATATTTGTGGATTTATCGACAACACTAACGAAGAGCTGTGCTTGCGCTGGCATCAGCTTGGAGCCTTTTATCCGTTTTCCAGGTACAGCTTATCAAAATGTTAAGTAGTCGAGAGATCCAGGAAAAAAG